AGCTCAATATTAAAAACAGTTTTTAGCGAAACTTAAACTAACATTGTTATTGATTTTGACCTTGGCATTGCGACTCTCTGATGTAGCCCTTAGTGTCTCCCATACAGCTCAACAACGCCACTCTCTGATATGGCCTTCAGTGTCTCCCATACAGCTCAACAATATGACTGTCTGATACGGCCCTCAAAGTCTCCCATACTGCTCAACAACGCCACTATCTGATATGGCCTTCAGTGTCTCCCATACAGCTCAACAATATGACTGTCTGATACGGCCCTCAAAGTCTCCCATACTGCTCAACATCGCCACTCTCTGATATGGCCTTCAGTGTCTCCCATACAGCTCAACAATATGACTGTCTGATACGGCCCTCAAAGTCTCCCATACTGCTCAACAACGCCACTCTCTGATATGGCCTTCAGTGTCTCCCATACAGCTCAACAATATGACTGTCTGATACGGCCCTCAAAGTCTCCCATACAGCTCAACATCGCCACTCTCTGATATGGCCTTCAGTGTCTCCCATACAGCTCAACAATATGACTGTCTGATACGGCCCTCAAAGTCTCCCATACTGCTCAACATCGCCACTCTCTGATATGGCCTTCAGTGTCTCCCATACAGCTCAACAATACGAGGGGCGGTCGGGTAGCCTGGTAGTAAAAGCGTTGGCTCGTCACGCCGAAGACCCGGGTTCGATTCCCGACATGGGTACAATGTGTGAAGCCCCTTTTCTGGTGTCCCCCGCCGTGATATTGCTGGAATATTGCTAAAAGCGACGTAAAACCATACTCACTCACTCACTCACTCAACAATATGACTGTCTTATAGGGCCTTCAAAGTCTCCCATACTGCTCAACAAAGCCACAATATGTCATCCTAAGTTCATTCTAAGATGGGTTGACATCTCACGGGCATGAGATCACTGTGCAACAATATACTTTTTCAGTAATTCATGTATCGAAATGTCATGGAAATTATATCCCGCGTTTCGTGTGAGAAGGTCACATACATGTCAAGCTGTTTATTACAGTGTCTTCATGGCAACAAACACCGTAGCCTTGGTTACCTACACTCTCGTGGTCAATTACTGCCACATGGACAAGCAACATTAAAATGGTTAACGTTGATGATTATGATAATTGGGATGACAGCAAAAACAGTATTTACAGTGAATCAATATTTCCCTAATGGGTTACATGTCTATAGTATAACGATGTTAACTGGAAGCAGCACATGGGCCTATAACAACATTCTCACTTATGTTTTCACTGTTTCAAGAAACACAGGGGAATATTCCAACATGCTCACTTAATGTGTTAATATTTACAAGTAACACATGGAGAATATTCAAACATTCTCACCAAGTAACACAGAGGAATATTACAAGAATCTCACCTGTGTGTTCACAGTTCTAAGTAACACAGGGGAATATTACAAAATTCTCACCTAATGTGTTCACTGTTCCAAGTAACACAGAGGAATATTACAAGATTCTCACCTAATGTGTTCACTGTTCCCCGTAACACAGGGGAATATTACAAGATTCTCACCTGTGTGTTCACTGTTCTAAGTAACACAGAGGAATATTACAACATTCTCACCTAATGTGTTAACTGTTCCAAGTAACACAGGGGAATATTACAACATTTTCACGTAATGTGTTCACTGTTCAGAGTAACACAGGGGAATATTACAACATTCTCACCTAATGTGTTCACTGTTCCAAGTAACACAGATGAATATTACAAGATTCTCACCTAATGTGTTCACTGTTCCAAGTAACACAGGGGAATGTAATAACATTCTCACCTAATGTGTTAACTGTTTCAATTAACACACGGGAATATTACAACATTCTCACCTAATGTGTTCACTGTTCCAAGTAACACAGGGGAATATTACAAAATTCTCACCTAATGTGTTCACTGTTCCAAGTAACACAGATGAATATTACAAGATTCTCACCTAATGTGTTCACTGTTCCAAGTAACACAGGGGAATGTAATAACATTCTCACCTAATGTGTTCACTGTTCCAAGTAACAGGGGAATATTACAACATTCTCACCTAATGAGGACACTGTTCCAAGTAACACAGGGGAATATTACAACATTCTCACCTAATGTGTTCACTGTCCCAAGTAACACAGATGAATATTACAAGATTCTCACCTAATGTGTTCACTGTTCCAAGTAACACAGGGGAATGTAATAACATTCTCACCTAATGTGTTCACTGTTCCAAGTAACAGGGGAATATTACAACGTTCTCACCTAATGAGGACACTGTTCCAAGTAACACAGGGGAATATTACAAGATTCTCACCTAATGTGTTCACTGTCCCAAGTAACACAGATGAATATTACAAGATTCTCACCTAATGTGTTCACTGTTCCAAGTAACACAGGGGAATGTAATAACATTCTCACCTAATGTGTTCACTGTTCCAAGTAACACAGGGGAATATTACAAGATTCTCACCTAATGTGTTCACTGTCCCAAGTAACACAGATGAATATTACAACATTCTCACCTAATGTGTTCACTGTCCCAAGTAACAGGGGAATATTACAACATTCTCACCTAATTTGTTCACTGTTCCAAATAACACAGGGAATTTATCCAGCACTATCACCTAATGTGTTCCGACTACACAAGTGACACCAGACCCCTTCACTCACCCACTCTGTACATGGTACAGCCCCCCTCCTGTCATGTGCTGATGCCCCTGGCTGTGAAGGTATCCGTTCTCCCTCGATACAAGTGGCGCTGAAAATGTAAAACGTCGGTATTTTCAAACAGTGAAATCGATTTTCTTTATTCTGGCATTAGCCGTTATTAGATATCTGTAAAGGTAAAAATACAACCCCAACGATGTCAACATGATCCGACATTTATTTCGCTTTTTATTGAGTTCGGGGGAATTGATTCACTTGTTCGAAAGTACCTCGACGATTGTTGTAGATTTGATAGCCATTACTTCAGCAAATACCTCAGCAGATAAACTGCAAAGTCAGCAAATTACTGAATAGCGTACAAACCACTAAGTCAGACAAATCTGTCCTGATACAATATCCATAGCTCGTGATACTTGTAAATCAAGTTCTTAATCAAATAACTCATTCATAATCTATACACGCCTATATCTCCATTCACCACGACACGTGCACTACGCCAATATCTACTTTCACTACGACACGTGCACCACGCCTATATCTTCTTTCACTCCGACACGTGCACCACGCCTATATCTACTTTCACTCCGACACGTGCACCACGCCAATATCTACTTTCACTACGACACGTGCACCACGCCTATATCTACATTCACTACGACACGTGCACCACGCCTATATCTACTTTCACTACGACACGTGCACCACACCTATATCTACTTTCACTACGACACGTGCACCACACCTATATCTACTTTCACTATGACACGTGCACCACACCTATATCTCCCTAAACCACGACACGTGCACCACACCTATATCTACTTTCACTACGACACGTGCACCATGCCTATATCTCCCTAAACCACGACACGTGCACCACACCTATATCTACTTTCACTACGACACGTGCACCACACCTATATCTCCCTAAACAACGATACGTGCACCACACCTATATCTACTTTCACTATGACACGTGCACCACGCCTATATCTCCCTAAACCACGACACGTGCACCACACCTATATCTATTTTCACTATGACACGTGCACCATACCTATATCTCCCTTAACGACGATACGTGCACCACACCTATATCTACTTTCACTACGACACGTGAACCACGCCTATATCTCCCTAAACCACGACACGTGCACCACGCCTATATCTACTTTCACTACGACACGTGCACCACACCTATATCTCCCTAAACCACGACACGTGCACCACACCTATATCTACTTTCACTACGACACGTGCACCACGCCTATATCTCCCTAAATCACGACACGCGCACCACGCCCATATCTCCCTCCACTACGACACGTGCACCATGCCTTTATCTCGCTTAACTATGACAAATGAACGACGCCTATATCTCTTTTCAGCACGATACGTGCACCACGCCAATATCTCCTTTAACCACGACACGTGCACCACGCCTATATCTCCGTAAATCACGACACGCGCACCACGCCCATATCTCCCTCCACTACGACACGTGCACCATGCCTTTATCTCGCTTAACTATGACAAATGAACGACGCCTATATCTCCTTTCAGCACGATACGTGCACCACGCCAATATCTCCTTTAACCACGACACGTGCACCACGCCTATATCTCCCTAAATCACGACACGCGCACCACGCCCATATCTCCCTTCACCACGACACGTGCACCACGCCCCTATATCTCCCTTCACTTCGACACGTGCACCATGCTTATACCTCCCTTCACTACGACACGTGCACCATGCCAATATCCCCCTTCACCACGACACGTGCGCCATGCCAATATCCCCCTTCACCACGACACGTGCACCATGCTTATACCTCCCTTCACTTCGACACGTGCACCATGCTTATACCCCCCTTCACCACGACACGTGCGCCATGCCAATATCCTATCTTCACCACGACACGTGCGCCATGCCAATATCCACCTTCACCACGACACGTGCACCCCTCCTCCTCCCCATGCTGCTCCAAAGTTGTGTATAGCACCTTTGTAACGCCACCCCCCCCCCCCCCCCCCCCCCCCCATCCTCCTTTGTTTGACTTTTATCCTCAGCGAATTACCCTTACTTATGATCTAATTGAAAGTACTGCTTGTCTAAAGACCAAGAAATAACTATGGCATATGTTGCAGTTACGCCTGCAATTATCCCAAGTGTTCCCTGATGGGACCCAAATAACGGAATAGCGTCTCTGCGTTATAATTACATTGACGGTCATTACACCCGCCAGATGTACGCCATATACAACAAAACAATAACGCTTTCCACTTTTAGATTCACAGCGTTCAGCCATCCCGGCGCATGCGCACATGTGTGGGAGTACGATACAGTGATCGATATCTTTGGATTGGAGGCAGCGACAATCTCGTGCTGTGGAGGAGGTTAGCGGTGTTGGTTCTTCAACCAGGATCCTTTCTACTGAGGGGTTTGGGCGATACATACAACATAGAAGGTAAGTGTGTGGTCATCAAGATATTCTCCTTCCATTCCGTCATTGAGGATGACGGTAATCTGCTTTTGGACAATTGTTATCGATACTTCGCGCACAGATTGCCGCCATCCATTATAGTGAGTTCTCGTCTGATACTGATCGTCTGCTTGTTCCATATTGACAGTTGATTTCCCGCTTCTTGCCACCATGGCTGGTAATATAGTTACCGTCAGATGGTTATGGTTTAATATCACTCCTTCATTTCCTACCTCCAGTAACGTGGGTGCGCCACATTCAACCTTTGTGCAGAAACTGATCGGGCCGAAACTTCAGCTACTTTTAACTTCAATCTCCAATATAACACTGTAAATTACAACAAGCATCGTTTATATATTTGTATTGTTTTCTTAGAAATATCAATTGTTAACGAACTGATGCTGTTTTTTTGTTGCCTTATGGTATTCGTCTATGCTTAGCTGCAATACATTTGACAAATAATACATATTTGGGTAGTATTTTGACATAACTGTTTACAATATCTATAGATGAGGACACGGATCTTTAAATAAATATTTGTGAAAAACACATTCATCAATTCATGTTCTGTCAAAATCCTGATGAAGATAGTCCACCCCCGCCATTCCAGTATCAGTCCGTCACGTCTATGACGACATCGCAGTCACTCCTACCCAACACAGCGGCATTCCGGGTGGCATTGGCGGGGGCGAGGGATAACTCGAGATAACTGATCAGAGTGTATGGAAGGCGTCATGCATCAATATCAAACACCGTACTTCAGCGTTTCTACTGGGTTTATCTCATGCCGAGGTAATGAGCGCAATTGACCATCTGGTCATAACCATATGGTGATAATAACGTCTCACATTTAACATGACATTACATTTACTGATGTACCATTTGAAAATGCCATCTGTCAAGCTTCAGAGTTTTTGAACACTGACGTCAGTGTGTGCGCTTGTTCCTGTGTGTTGTGTCTGTGTGTGTGCGCCTGTGTGTGTGTGTGTGTGTGTGTGTGTGTGTGTGTGTGTGTGTGTGTGTGTGTGTGTGTGTGTGTGTGTGTGAGACTGAGTTTGTGCGTGTGCGTATGTGTGTTTGTGTGGCAGGGTACACATATCGTATAAAAAGTGTCAACGGTGATATACCTGAATACAATTGAAGTAGCACTAGTTTTGTACTCCGTTATCTCCATACCTCCATCAGATGCACAATACAACAAAAAGAACACCAGATACGTTTAACCTCTCGTCAAACTGGCACTCCCCTCTGAGGTTTCCCATATTGGAAAACACCATCACAGACCTCCAATCAATATTCATCCAGTTCGCCCCACCTGCCCATGGCACCGTCCGCAAATACATTCTAATTTCTGTTCTCCATAATTTTATCTAGTGACGTCAAGCATTCGATGTGACGTGTCACCCCCGACGTGAACCTCGTGTACCTGTCTGTGTGGTATGCGATGAAGCGCTACGATGTATCGCTGTTGACAACGTTGTTATATGTTGAAGTAGTAGTATCAATTAGCAGCTTCAAAGTGTAGCAGCATGCGTTACTGGTCGTTGTGTTTTTCGTGACCTACTTTAGTGTATACGTCCCCAGCTCCTCAGAGCATATTGTTGGCGTGAACTGTCACAAGCGATCCGAAGTAACAGTCGCGATATGACTGCCGATGCATATTTTAAACCACAAACCATTACACAAATCACAGTGCTTGGTGGACTGTCAGTTACTATCATGTGACAAACCACAGAACTATAGTTTGTTGTTTGACTAGCTAGCTGATAAACAAGCGATAATGAATATTAATGAGGCATGTTAAGAAACGGAAGAGAGATGGTTAGTTGTCATAAGTACAATCGTTATGATTCCAAATGCCTGAATCTAGGAATCGATACAGACACAAACGTACCGTTAGATAATCTGTTTCCCACGTTGTCTCGTGTCATGCTCTTCAGCTTATATAAACTACCCATTTGCCTTTCTAATGGATATGTCCTCTCAGCGTGACTCGCACATCAGTGACGTCACTGGGAAGGTGTGATACATGATTTTTACCCTGGTTTGTAGGAAGCACACAGAATGGTACACCTGTCGGTGTTGAAGTGGACGTGGTTGGCTGTTGCTACTCAAACCTATTGGAATTTGCGTTCATATTTTATTCTTCCCTTCCCTTGGCTCTACCGCTGCAACTCCTCGTTTATCGATATTATGATCAATATCGTAACACAGTGGAGATATGATACAATGGATAATCCTCCTCCTTCCTTGGTTAAGCAGCGCTACGAATGTCGTAAGTCTTAAGTAAAAGTTCATAAGCTAGTCCTAATGTTGTACTACGAGTGCCGAAACCCTATGTGAAAGTATGGAAGTTATTCCAAACACTAGGACTGTCGCAAGTCTATGTGTTAACGAAAGTTGGCCATGATAGTCCTAGCAAAGAGTGAGTGAGTGAGTATGGTTTTACGCCGCTTTTAGCAATATTCCAGCAATATCACTGCGGGGGACACCAGAAATGGGCTTCACACATTGTACCCATGTCGGGAATCGAACCCGGGTCTTCGGCGTGACGAGCGAACGCTTTAACCACTAGGCTACCCGACCCCCCTAGCAAAGACATGGGGGTCACACTCGTAGTGGTACAGTCACCTTGTGGAACGATGTCCGGATATTAAGCCCTACCCGACTGTGAAACATACACCATAAACATATGTTACATAAACATAGTATGTTTGTCATAATTACAAATATGTGTCACCCGCCATATTAAGGGGACATGCTGACTGACCCTCCTCCCACCCCACAGATGTGATATCAGATCAATGTTCAGGGTACATGCTGACTGACCCCTCCCTGTTGGGTTGATGTCACCTCCCACCCCACAGATCTGATACCAGAACAATGTTCAGGGGACATGCTAGGTGACCCCTCCCTGTTGGGTTGATGTCCTCTCTCACCCCACAGATCTAATATCACAGCAATATTCAGGGGACACGCTGACTTACCCCTCCCAATTATAGCAATGCCTCCTCTCACCCCACAGATCTGGCATCAGATCAGTATTCACGGGACACGTTGACTGACCCCTCCGAATTGTAGTCTCCTTTTACTGTTGGGGATGTCCCCTCTGATCTGTCATCATCCACGCAAAGACAATAACACCATTCATCTGCCATTCCCAAGACAGTACATTCTTTACGTTTCAAGGTTCCTGACATTTCCACTGTCTAGACCTACATCACAATTTACGATGCACGACGTCTCTCAATCTGTAACTGGGTCTCCCTGGATACAAGAGTTAGCTTTGTAGTTTAAAAAATACCTTTTCGATCATACAATTTGCTCCTCACATCATGTATCATGAACGCATGTAATCAATCTCCTTGAAAGCATGATTCGTAGACCTCAGCTTAAAGTCTGACGTCATTGGTGTCATTGTGGCGTTGTGTCTGATTAGATTTGTTTTGTTTGGCATATGACAAGCAGGTAAATCGGTTATTGATGTTATACTTTTCATTTTGTACAAAGAAACGTAAACTTACTACAGGCAAGTCCTTTCTCGACGAAAACAGGCCGACTGTTTCTTAATCTGGAGTGGGGCCTGGGATCTGTTTATTGTTTTTAATAATTTGTTCCAGGTAATCCCTGAGAACTGTTAAATGGCCTCAAAGTTTGCATCAAAAATAATTCAGCAAATAGCATGACACAAAATATTGTGTAAGAAGCACTGTCAGAACAGATATTATCTGTAACAGCTGAGACCATATACCGGTAACAAAGATCACATTCCTGAATGTGAATGAAAACACCAATGATGCATAAGCCAATATTAGGTGCATTGTACATGTTTCGTTCAAATGTGAGGTTGATTATTTGGTAAATGGGTAGCTTTTTTTAAAACATTGTATATAGGCAATTAAAGTAGGCATTTGATTCAGACAGCCACGCATTTACTACATACTCCGCCATGTTACCTTTGGAATGAGACCTGTGAAGATCTGGGGTAGAATATGTCTTTAGCAACCCATCCTTGTCGTAAGAGGCGACTAACGGGATCGGGTTGTCAAGGTCGCTGACTTTGTTGATGCATGTCATCGTATCCCAAATGCATGGATCGATGCTCATGATGTCCATCACTGGATTTTCTGATCCAGACTCGATTATTTACAGACCGCCGTCACAGAGGTGGAATATTGCTGAGTGCGGCGTTAAACAACAAACAAGTAAAGAAAGTTTCGAATGAACGAGCCGGAAGTGGAGAGTTGTTCGGGGAGACAACTCTGTCTACTTTTCCTTACGGGTTTCTAATTGAGGAAAGGGTCACTGTGCGAGACAACTTCCATACAATTCTAATGCTACCTAACGTATGCGAAACCCGAGTCTTCTCCAACCTATTGCGAACGCTGTGTTCTATCAGGAATCATCAAAGAACTTGCGTTAAACCCCTGATCTAACAGCTGATGGCGTGCACATCACGCGTCTACTCCTATCACGTACTCTGCAGGGTAAACACGCCGAGTCTGATCAAACACACGGACTGACACACACGGAATTCTTCAGTTCTAATTTTGAACACACGTTACACAAAAAATTGATTTTTTTCGATCTCTTTACGAGTCAGTAAGAGATCAGCGTTTCGCCATATTTATCGAGGTGTTATATTGAAGAACTGTACATGTTTGGAGTGTGTGTGGACGCCTGTTTCAACAGGTATATACAGAGCTCCAGATAAGCTGCGTATCTGCGTGAAATACGCAACGAACATTACAGATACGCTACAAAAATAAAACTTGTGCGTATCATCAAAATAGTGTGAAGTAACCCTGCGTATTCGATTAGCAAATCAGCAACTTATTTTGAAATTATAAACGGGCATTCCGTCAACCTTGCATAACTCCCCGATGACAGTTACATCATGATCATTTGCCATCACACTTTCTTGTGGAAGTATCGTGGTATTTGTGAGTCCTATAAAGCTCTCGAACCCACACGACACCAGTTTG